AGCTCTCTTTTTTCCCGGGTAAATCTGTATGACCATAAGTCGATCGAATGCAATCTTGTTCTCTAGGCCTTTTGAGACGGCTAAACCCAACCCATTCCGAGTGCTGTTCGTGCCATTGTATGAAAGCTTGCATTCATCTCCTCAGTGGCACGTGATCTTGCACTTTCTAATCCGTTTTCTGTGGCATTGATTATGGTTAATCGGAGCGTCTTTAAGCTTGGGCAGCTATCTTAAATAGGTCCCCCACCGGCTTGTCGCAGGTTTTCGAGTGGTCTGTCGCTGGAAAGTGAGGCGAGAATTTTTTTTTTCAATGAGAAATCGCTCCGGAACATCTCCAAAATGATGAAACGAAGCACTCGGCACTCATTCATTCATTTAATTTCACTGATGACCGAAGAGTAAACAATTCTTCTAATATTGACGTCCACAAGAAAGAAAATAAATCTGAAATATCTTCGCAAAACTCTAGTTTGAAAAAGGGCGCGGTAAGCTTGATCCCGAGCCACGCAGTTTCCGAAACTTTTCTCCCAAACCCTCTCCAAAAAAATTTCTATTCTCATACTTCCTATGTGGTCACTGCAACAAAGGAAACGGAGCGTGAGGTATCCTTTCTTAGTGTCCAGCTTTTGCTTTAAATTGAAAATCTGTGGTCTAATGCACCCTAAATATTGCCATAAGACAAAAAAAACTTACACGCCTCCGGTTCCTCTTGCTTTATAATTACGACTTCATTCTCCACTTTTCTAACGAACGGAGGTGCAGAGGCTGCAAAACTTGCTCCTTCCACAGCAAAGCAGTCCTCCACTTTCAAGTCAACTTTTTCAGATTTAAAACTATAATCTTGAACAGCTGCAAATTCCTGCCCTTCAATTCCATTTCTCGGAAGCGGCGAAACATGTTGAGCCATTGGTGCAATGATAGTCGAAGGATTATTTTGTGGTTCACACGTATTCCCCAAGACAGTGAAAGAATTTTGGCATGGAACGGTCGTATAGGAAAAGAAATCATCGATCTCGTTGCAAAGGCTCCAACCAGGTTGCAGGTTTTCTACACTCTGGAATGGTATACGAGCACTTTTAAATTTGATGGATGTAAAAGTTTGCAGTGAAAGAACTACTCATTTGATGACCAGAAGTGGACATACATTAGCGTTCGAGATAGATGATCCTGAACAAAATCGAAAGGTGCAGCAAAACGAAAAAGAAAGCTTTGACATTCATTACCGACATAGAATCCATTGCTTTGATTTGGAACATCTTCAGCTTTGCGAAAAGAGTTTATGTCATTACTTGGCTGACAACACATGTCTTCATAAGGATTGTAGAACGACAGCTGGTGAGTTGAAAGAGCAGTCAAGGAATCTGAAATAATATCATAAAATAAAATTTGTTCATGTACACATAAAAGCTATGGCGTTTGTTTTCAGTCTAGAAATAAACAACTTGAAACAAAAATTTATGAAAGAAATTTGAATAAACTTTATTAGAGGGAACACAAACTTACCACACCCATTGCATATTGATGGGGAGTTATTGTCAGTACCATTAATGTCACCAGTGTAGCCATTTAACG